GTTGCACAAAATCCAACCACATCTTTGGTTTAGTTAGTTGTTGACTGACTTCACCCCATTGAGCAGCTTGTGGTCAGCTTCATAAGCACCAATGTTGGTGCAAGAGGGAATGGGGGAAGTGCTGGCTAAGGACAATGTGGGGAGAAAAAGAGGATGAGCAACAGTAATTAGGAATGGCTTAGGCTGCCACACCACCTCTAGACCCTGAAACCTGCCAGAAGACATCATAGGAACACATGACACAGCGCACAGTGTGGCATTTAACATGGGGGCATTGCAATACATGTGGCTAACGTTCCCATCTTGTTATGTTGTTGTGTTGATCATACCAGATGACAGACCTCACAAAAGAACCTGGCACTGTATTCAATGTCACTTTTCTTCCAAGGTATTGGGTGTAGGCCTTCATTTGTTACTGTGGCAGGTGGACCAGCAGCCACCCCCGACAAGCTGTCACTTTGTCTCTCCTGCCACCTACTGTATGTGGTGGCATAATGTGTGTCACCAACTCATGTGTGTCTCCATTTCTGTTTGGAAAAACCAACCTTTAGTTCTTCTAGAAGTGCCGCTGCATGCATATAGGGACTCCCTGCTGTCACCACTCCTCCAGCAATGCTATCCAGCATTTCCTGATGAAGGTTAAATGCAGCCCTTTGAGCTCTACTTAACTCACTGATGCTTCAGGGTTAAAATTAGCATTAAATACTAAAAATTCTCCAGAGTTTAGGGCATGAACTTCTCTCCCCCTTTGCCTCATGGAGAATTAATCACAGAAGATTTATTTTAAACACTGAACAGGCCATGATGCCCCATAAACCTCTGTTCCTCAATTTGCAGTTACTTCCAATGACAACACTCACAAGGGGCAAAGCCCAGCAGAAAAATAACTTTGCATTGAGCGTGTGACTGTCAGCCCGTGGGCAGGGGTGAAACTCTTGCTGCACTTGAGCTGCGTAACCAAATGAGTGTCACTCAAGAACAGACCTGCCAGATGCAAGAGTCTGTTTTAGACCGTGGTTTACCCTTGTCCTTTTAACCTCTTGCTCTCAAAACACACAGCTGAGCAGGTCTGGCTGTGCCATGCGTACCCTCGGCAGCACAGTGCTACCCAGATGTCCTCCTCATGTGGTCCCCCTGCCTACAACAGCAATGGCTGCAGAAGGGGTTTCACTGACACTTGTGCCCAAGCAGTGCATCCAAGGAAAAGAATTCTTTAACCATAACCATCTGGGTTCTGCCATCCATCCAGACACCATTAACCATAGTGAACAGCATCAAGAAGGGCAGCAACAAGTCCGAGCTGGTCCAGACTAGTCCAAGCCTACCACAGTGGCTTCAAACCCATTCACAGTACTATGTGGAAGCCAATAAGAATCCAACCCGAAACCAATTAGATAGATATCCCATGTTAATTATGTATGTCATCCTCCCAGAACATATGACAAGTTTATTTTTCAGTATTTTATTATTAATGTTTTTGGTGGATGTCCTGAGCATCGCTCTGCTTTAACTGCCCACAAACTATCACGTCTCAACATTGACATAGCTGCTCTCAGCGAAGTTCATCTCCACAAGGAAGGCAGCCTTAGAGAACATGGTGCCAGTTACACACTCTTTTGGTCGGGTAAACCCAGAACCGAAAGCCGAATCATGGGTCATTTACCGCCACCACCTGTGACTCCTAGAACGCTTCCATCAAAGCTGTCTCTGTACAATTCTAAACATCCACTGGTCAGATTATGTAACCAATACATCTGTTCTAGAACAAGCAGAAGTTATGAGTATTGAGGCCATGTTGCTGAAATCACAGCTGCATTGGGCAGGACACATCTCCAGGATGAAGGATCACTGCCTCCCTAAGATCATGCTCTACAGTGAACTTGCCACTGGCTGCCGCAAAAGAGGAGCCCCAAACAGAAGATACAAGGACTCCCTGAAACAACATCTCAGCCTTGGCCATATTGATCTTCATCACTGGTCTACACTGGCCTCCAATTGGGAGGTCTGGAGACACACAATCCATAATGCTGCTGCTTCCTTTGAGAACACACGCAGGATCACCATCAAAGAGAAAAGACAACGCAGAAAGAATTGGATCCTGCCGATATCATCCAAGGAGTCTTTCTGCTGTGCCTTTTGCAACCGATCTTGTCTATCTCGCATTGGCCTCTTTAGCCACCAGCAAATGTCGGTAGAGCCCTTCCCAAATGTTCGTTTGCGAAGCCTAGTCATGATTATTAATTTTAAGAAAGTATTCAAATAGAAAACAACAAGTTGAATTTTCTAAAAGAAATCTCATTATTTTCGAGTAAGAAACTAGCTTGTGGGTGCTGGTTTATTTTCCCATATATGGCATTCCCTTCTACCTAATCAACAGCCTGGGGCTCTGTGACAGCAGCTATCTTTGATAAAAGGAGTATTCTGATGAAGGAGAAACACATCCAACATTTGCATGATCCAGTAAGCTATCAAATGTATTTATTTATGCTGTGACCACAGTAATCAAGAGGCATTAAATGTGGAATGGACCATCAGTTAAATGCATTTTAAATCTGAGTTTTCACTGGTTACAGTAAGGAAATTGTTGACTAGCAGGCTCTTTAGGGTCTTTACAGGTTGCAGTTAGAGAAGTGGATACAAAAGATAAATCACTCCACTCCTGCAAAATCAAGTCTTACTTTTGCAAGTAACAGTGGTTCTTTCATCTTACCACTTAAAATTTGATCAAGTGAGGAAAAACATTAATATAATTCAACTCACACATAAACTTCTCTGAAAAATGAGGACA